ACAAATAATTGAACCCAAATTTTATTATAAGCAACCTCTCAATAAAATCTCAACCCGGTCACAATTTAACGAAAAATGAACGTCACTGAGAATCATCTTACGACATCATTGCAATTATAAAAAAAAAATAACCGAACCGAAATTTTACTGTAATCAACTTCTCCATAAAATCTCAATCCAGTCACAATTTAACGAAACAACAAACATTCCCAAGAAAAAAAGTGATACGAAATCATTAGAATTATCAAACAACCAATCCCAATTGTTATCATAAGAAACTTCTCAGTCACAATTCCAACAGAAGGCAAAAAAGGAAAAAACGAATATCACCTAAGAAACAATTTTCCAAATTCACCAAAAAGTTTCTCTCTCGTCCTTATCTTTCCTAACTCTAATCTCCCCAATTTCAAACACTGTGCCCAATTTCACAAGGGTCGATTACATCACGATCACAGTACAAAACTCGCCGCGAACGTTTCTACTCACAGCGATAGTTTGGGCGCGCATCCTGGTCGGCTCTATTTTCTATCTCTTCTCCTCGAAGCGACTCTTACTGTTCTCCGCTCGACGTGAGACGAGCCGGCGTAAACGTTCCACGAGTGATAAGAGGTAAGAAGGAAGAGTAAGCGGAATCGATTACAACGTCGATCGAACACGAACAACACACGACCGATGTTTTACCGGTGTCGATACGTTTCTGGCTTTGAACGGCCGGGGATGTGTGCTTATAAAGGACGAACGAACCGAGGTGGCCAAAACCACCCGGTGAAAAGCCATCAGGGTGGGAGAGCGTAAAGTCGCTCGACTTTACGGTTACGTAAATCCTAGGAAGCGGCCGTCTCTTTGGTTACGTTCGTTCCCCCCCCGTGCTGCGTAACACGCTGCTCTGCGTGTACACACGCCACGTGTGTGTTGGCCTGGCCTCTCCGCTCGCTATAATCTCCTTTCGGTAAACGCCTGAAATGGTGAAAACCGCTCTGGTAATTGCGGTATTAATTCGCGAGGGAGAAACACAGCCGCGAGTACGCGTCGCTGAATCGTTACGTCGACTATCGTGGAAAACGGCCGTGTTTCTCGCCGTTTCCCGCCATTTCTGAATTATGGATGAACCCGCGGTGGAAAGTTGAGTTTTCCACCGTTTTTTCAATTTTTTTCTTCTTCGTCGTTTTGACAACGCGTGATTGGTGAGTTCGTTGGGAAAGTGGAGTTTCCTGAATTTTTCATATTTTTGACGACGTGTGATTGTTCAGTGTCTTCGGAAAATCGGGTGTCCTGAATTTTTGACCTTCCGATTTTTGACAACGTGGGATTGCTGTCTTGGAAAAGCCGTATTTTTTACAACGTGTGATTGCTGAGTGTCTTGGGAAAGTCGAATTTTCCGAATTTTCGATCTTTCGATTTTTGATATTTTCGACCACGTGGCATTGCTGAATCGTGGAAAACTCGAGTTTTCCGAATGTTTAATATTTCTGACATGTGACTGCTGAGTCTCCCAGCAAAGTCGAGTTTCCCAAATTTGTATTTTCCACAATTTTGATTCAAGGAAAAGTTTGACGAAGATTACCAAAAATGGCGGGAAATATTTGTCAAATTACGCGAGATTACCGTAAAATTTGTGTGAAATTCGACGATAACTGTGAAGTGTGATTATTCAAAAATTCTCACCGAATTACGACAGTCTCCTACGAGATACGATTACTTCGAATTTTTAACAACCAGAACGTGATTTCGTCACAAGCAGGAGGTGCTGATGCTGCACAGGAGGTAAGCGAGTGTTGCATAAACGTTGCTTCTAAATTTAGGTAATATCGTTTGACTTTAAATGGAAAAATTATGTCCGTACACACACCGGTCTCGAAGGATATCATTCACGTAACTTCACGAGGACACCGCCGGAATTTTTCCATTACGTGATCGATTTCACTCAAATCATTTTGCAAATATATGTATATTATCTTCTATCGTATTTCAATCAGCCCTATATACAGCCCATCTTCTTTCGCTAACAATTTTGAAACACCTTTCACCAAAAAATTACGGTACGCAAAATAAAGCAACACCCAACTAATTAATTCCTCAAGCTTGATAACAACACACACGAATTAACATATTTTTCGCGATTTATTTCTTTCTACCAAAAAAAAAAAAAAAAAAAGAAATTCGATTACGTGTTTTTCGTGTCGAAACGACACGAAAAAAACGTCCAATTCTCTATAAAACGCTGCTGTTGCGTCCAACATGGCGGATGATATAACACCTGTGGCGACCTCAGCGCGCACAAGAAACGCGACACGCCAGTTTATCGCCTATTAATTATGGTCCCGCGAATCTAGCTCAACGTCAGTCGCGTGGAACCTGCTAAAAGTGGAACAGGAAAATAACATTACAGGGTACCCGCCTGATGGGACATTGTAAACGTTCTGTCTTATTTCCCTCGGCAAACAACGTGAATCTCCTAATTGCAAAAAAATTACAGGCTTCGTTCAATTCTCTCCCGCTGTAAATTTGCGAAACTTCCGGTCGTCGATTTGATTACATCGCCGCTTCGTCTTCCTAGTCTCGGGTCTGATAATTCAACGAGACTAACGCGTCTAAATGTCTAAACGGCACGTTAGGAAATTCCGGGGAGCTGTTTTCCCCGAAACACTTTTACTCTCCCGTAATCGTACAGCGCGAAACGATCGGGAAGCCGCGAATTTCTTCCTCTCCGTCTACACTCGCCACCATGAATTGAGTGTAAAACGCGTATACGGGGAAATTAAACGACCGTTTCGCAACTTCCTGCACGCAGGATGCATTTCGACATTCCAATTTTATCGATTCCACCCTCCCCCATTTTCTGTATAATTTCACGTGTAACTGTGTCCAATTTTCCACGAATCCTCCGTCCACTCATAATTTTCATCCTAATTGCGACGGAAAAAAATCGGTAATTACCCGTACGAAAAGTTGCAAACGCGAAGAAGAAAATACTACGTTTCGAGTAGAAATTCAATTAATAAACATCGCCTCGACCAACCACGTGGAAAATCACGTTTCTAATTCTCTCTGTATCAGCCTGACTGATTCTACTTAATGAGTACACGTCTTAAAAGTTCCTAGGAGGAACGTGAAAAGCGCCGTTAACCCTTCGAAGTCTGTTTAATTGCGTGTAATTAACCGCGTCCAATTACGCTGAAAAATCCTTTCGTATGATATGCACGAAGGAATGCAAAGGACGATAAAAACGCAACAGGTGGAAAACGCGTAATCGTTTAGTCCAGATTCCGTCGGCACGAACTTCCGGCAGGATACGTCGAATAGCGTCCGCTTTCTCGCCGCGTGTCGAGTGCTGTTTCGCGAAAGGAGTCAGTGTTAAGAGCAAGGTCCGCTGGTGTAACGCCCGTTACATCCTTTTTTCGTTCGTCCAGCCAGTGTTGCAGGAAGCGGCGCAGCCTGCATACTTAAAATATCCATCATACAGGGAGAAAGCGTTTCGTAACCCTCAGTCTTGTAGTACCTGAGCCTATCTCGCGAGGTGGGTGCACGAGGTGAACGGAGGGAAAGGGACGACGATCGTGGAGATTTCAAAGAGGTCCAGAATCATCGTCGTTACGCAATCATCGCTACGAGTTCAGTTCTCGGAGATAAATCTTTGAGTGTGTAACACGGACCCTGACTACGTCATAATCTTAATACGAGAAAGGTGTACAAAGTGGCCCATAGGTCGCTTCATCGGTTAAACATTGAATAAACTTGTTTCAACGTTTGTATTTCAAACTTTGAAACGGATAACAGTAAGAGTTGTTGAATTTTTAAATTGTGACGCAATTGTGAGTCACCCTGTATAACAATTGTTTTTGTAAAAATGTTATTCAGTTTTTCGACTTGTGGACCACCCTGTATAGCAATTGTATTTTTATCTTATTTTTTAACGTTACTGTTGGTTCCTGGTTTGTATGTGAAAGTGGTTAGTTTAATCGTTTTCTAAAATGGTCTATTATGATACAACATATACGTTTTGGTAAGGAATAAAATGGGAGTGTGATAAAGAGAAAGGTTTATTTAATGGAAATCTTTGTTCTCACTATCGATAACGAGTACATACCGTGTCTAACGAAAGTTCTGGGACTCTGAGTTTAATAATTTATCGTAGGGGTATGATACTTTCGTAAGTTGGCCACCCTGCCGAGTGACGTCATATGTCTGAAATGTTTAATATTTAAAAAAGGGATTTTGATTACACACTGCACTTATCTATTCAAATTGCTTTCTAACCTGTACAAAGAAACGAGAATCTTTTTATTCCTAAAGTAAATAACATTGTTAACAAATTTGCGGGAAAATATTTCACAAAGATTGTCGTTTTTCAATACCGTTGCTCAAGCCTCCCTTCTTCGCTTCAACAATCGTAACATCGAATTGTTCGTTCCTCGTCTCGTTCCACTGCTCTGATCGATAAAAACAAGGATCGTTTACAACAGGTCTGCAACAAAATCCTCTTCGTTGCACAACGTCGTCTCCGCGCGAACAAAGGTAACGCGACGAGACAAGTCAAACGATTGCGATGGTGAAAGGGGACAGGCATTAGAAGGCGAGCGAAAAATGACCACGAAAAAAAGAACTGTAATGGTTGTGTGTATTCGATGTGCCTATAATCGCGTCCTGTTTACATAACGATCGCCTGCAATCATCCCCACCGTGTCCCCAAAAACACTTCTGTCCTCTTCTTGTTCCGTGAAAGCCACGTCGGCAGGCCAATTTTGAGGGAATATGCTTTGGTTAGCGTGCGACGAGAGAAAATGAGAAACGTGCCCGATGAAAGTCAAACGTTGGAATCGATCCAACGGGCGGCGCGTGGTATGCGACATGATCATAAACGGTTAATTGTTTCGCGCGATTTATTGGAACCAGAAGTAAAATGATCGATCGGTGGTAAAGTTTTAGGTTAAATCAATCACTCGTCACTGGAGCTACTTCCTCTTGGTTGGTACGTATTATACGATGTGATCACGGTTTCGAAGCGGAAGGGAAATTCTGAATCCAATATTTTATACAACTCGACGAGATTGTGCGTACATCAATCTGTGTGTACACACGACGTTTCGCAATAGGCGTTACTTTCCAACGATAAACAACGCTGTTACGCGATCAAGCAACAACATGTGGCGTAATTAAACTTCTTTTTTTATGTAACTGGAGCGATTTGGATGGTAGTTTTATTGTAAGGTTACTTTTATTTGTATTATTAGATACAAGTGTAAATGCAATCTGATGGTACGAGCTCTATCGCTAGATAGTAGATTAAATACTACAATGAAACACCCCCAATAATAGCTAACGCTGTATATACATACTTACAGTAAAAATTAATATATTTATTAAACGTAATTAAAATTAGCGAAAATAACTAATAAAATATAAAAATTTAACTAATACAAAAATAAAACAATAGAAATGTAATAATGAAAGTTTTGTGATAATGATACAATGCCTGTGATGAGGTCAGATAAAGTGAATGACATAAGTGATGATTATACTATTATTGATGAATTTAAAAATTTTCTATGTAATTTTTTTTGAACCACGAATACCTGAAAGCACAGATACTGCGGTTTCACTGCATTTACAATCTATTAACAGACAATGAGACTGTGGCTTCTGCCAGTCTAGAGGTTTACTACGGTACATGGCCCATGATGGTACTGTAATTAAAGCAGCCATCATAAATCCTGCAGCAAGTACGTACATTGTTTGAGAGAATTGTTGGATAATATATCCCCATATTAATCCAACTACCTACAAAGACAAACTAGGTACGTGTTATTTTGCACAAGGTGTGTCCAAAGTATAAATATTTTAAATACAACACTTTACCCCGAAAAGTGTTATAATATCTGTCGATAATTTTTCTGCCCGAGCTTGACCGTCATAATCCTAAAACACACACAGTTTCAACATAAATAGTATTAGAAAAATAGCTAATTGAATGTTGTCATATAGTGACACATAACCTAACTACAGACGAAAGCAGAACAGAGGTAAAAACTAATACGAATACCGACTAATCGACACTAATTACAGATCACTTTGTCAACTTACCATATACATTGGAATCGATTTAATTTTTTGTATCCACGAACTCATTATACGTAAACAATGCTAATACGCCGGTAGTATTGAAGCAGACGAACTTCAGTATGGTCATGAATCGCGGACAAAGTGTTCGTGTTGTCGTTTCTATGATTATATTTTCACGACGCCAATTTTGTAAATACGGTAGATAAAGTAATGTAAGTGTAGTAGATAAGAATTACTATTACGTGTAAGTATCATTGGTGAAACAAGTGAATGATTTAGCAAGTGTCGATATACGATAAAGCTTGAAAATAACTTCCTTTGAACCTACGAACGAATTACTATAATCAGACTTGTGAGTTCAAAACGACGTAACTTTCTTAACCGACTGGTGTTGCGCAATGTCTATGGCTTATCATTTTACGGATATAAAGTGCATGCACGTTACATGCATTGTGCTTTCTAATACTTCCAAGTGCGAATTTCTCCATTAAAATTCAATAGAATCTGATACGGGAAAACATGTTACATACAGACAATAAAAATTCAAAGATCGTTATTATTTCTTCCTACATAATAAAAAAAAGAAACGTACAGTTGAGTTTAGTGTGCGAAATTGCATAATTTATACATGACGATTAATTTTGCGCCTTCAAATTCCGTCACGTTGTTGCTCATCCCTCCGTTCAGTCCGAGAATCGATTTTGTAGAGGGAGATTGCAATCGAAATTAACATCGTAGTTCGTGTCTGAGATCGTGTCACTGATCGGTTAAATGGAAACTATTAATTAGAATCGGTTTGTGTTTTCGCAATGTCGACAATACCGTGTGTGTGTGTCATCATCGGTTAGAAAACGCATTTCTAGTCGTGCAACGACATGCAACACTTAGCCGTTTATTGTTGTAACGATTTTAGAAGAGAAACCGACTCACGCATCGTGTACAAGTGTGCCCGCGCTTTTGCTTGCGTGGAATTCGAAACGAGATTCAGGTAAAATGTCTCAAGGGCGACGTCGCGTTACGAGAATGTTAAAGTCGACCGAGCAAATGGATGGGTTAGAATTACGAAATGTTGGTTGTGTTTCGTTTTTCCGCATTGCCATACGTTTCGACATTTGAAGTTCTTTCACCTACGAGGCTGAACGAAAATAATTGATTTCCAATGGGTAGTGTGTACTTTTTAAAGAGTGTGTGAATGTTAGGTGATCCTACTTGAATCATCTATTTGCATACTAATTCGCAAATTACCGTTGGTACATATACTAGTAATAAATGATTTTATTCTTATCATAATTGTTATTCATAAATTAATTCAATCATATTATAAACACAATTCTTAATAAAAAATGATATATGAAACAATTGCCTTTGCCTTGTACCAGTAAGTATTATTATATAACAGTTGGTGACAAAACATTCTTAAGTACAGTCACAAGCAGGGGTGTCCTATTTCTTTTTCTTCTGTTTAACCGTGACTTCATGTTGTGGTTTCTGCCAATTCAAAGGTTTATGGCGATACATAGGCCATGGTGGCACAGTTATCAGAGCTGCCAATACAAATCCAGCACCCAGTATGTAAATTGTTTGTGAAAATTCCTGAATAATGTATCCCCATACTAATCCAACAACCTATATATATAAATTTCACACATACGTAACTGATTTTCTAAAAACTAAACCAATCACAAACATATGAACTACAATAACCTACCCCAAAGAGTGTTATGATTACTCTCGACAGCTTCTCTGCTCGAGCTTGGCCATCATAGTCCTGCAAACAAAAATATCTCGATTGTAAAACATATTTTTGTACGAATTTAGGCAAATACGTAAAAACACCTGTTGTAGTGAAAAACATAACCTATCTACTGTTAAATACGTCTCTAAAGGTAGCTAATGTTGTCTTAAAGTTTGTTTATGAACTTACTATATGAAGTGGAATAGATTTGATATACTGTATCCAAGAGCTCATCGTAAACAAATATAAATGATCGCTGCCGGTCGATTCACGTAGCCAAACTTCAGTTCAGACGTGGACTGTACATAAAATGTTGACGTTGCACGCGCATGCGCCAAGTAGTACCTCCATTCTTGAGCGCATTTTCATGGCGCGAAATATGAATCGGTTGAATACAATTCGTAATAAACTGTACCAAATTGTTTAAATCTCTCGTTAATCGTAGAATAATTGTTAAAAAAAGATATTGAAGAAAACAATTCCAAGAATACCAAGGATTTCGAGAAATTCAAAAAGGTTTCACGTGTCCATAAATATCATTTATTTAACAAAGCGTTCGTACGAATGACAAGTAGTTTCTTATTACACAAATACTGCATCAGCGATCAGAAATAGCAATCGCGAATGTTCTTTCTGCGTGACATTTTCTCGCTGATAATAAAGCGTTCAGACGAGATGCGTCAATTGGTCAATTGTTCGAAGGTGTCGGTAAGGGCGTCGCGTGTCGTCACCATTTAGAAAACGCATTTCTAACTGCGCGCAACTTTGTTAAACGTTTGCATTTCGTCGCGTGTGGCAAGATAGCAGACACGCGCATCTGCGTGCACAGAATTCTAACACCGTGGCGAAACATTTTTTCTTTTTACTATATCGGCGACAGAGCGAATGATTTTCATCTTTACGATTGCTGCGTTTCCTTTCACTTTAATTGGCAACATTTAACGACGCGAGGCTGCAAGTAGCTTTGGTTGCGCCATGCAACCGTGGACGTTTAAAAATCACATCGACAAAAGGCTCGAACTCTGCCAGGGTTTTTGAGTATTTCTCCATATTTTACATTTTCCTTTACCTCGTCATCTCATGTACAGTTACTTCTAAAAATATTCCGACACTACGCAAGTTTGTCTTTCAGTCTGGGTCGTTAATGACCCAAGTGAAATTTTACTTATTTTCTCGCAACGAATTTTTGTTTATTGAAAAAAGTTTTAAAAATTTGACTTAACGAACGATTGTATAGTTCAGTAGAGACTTTGATAAGTATCTCAGAATTTTTTCAGATTTTTTGAAAGCCTAGAAAAGCCTTGGAAGCCTAAAAAAAGTTAGACTTGGGCTAAACTCAGTTTACCTACCGAGAGTTAATTATGAAAAGATGTTTCGTGTATAATATTGTGCCTAAAATTAGTCAAAATTAACTCGAATTACTGTGTCACCCAAATATTCAAACACTCAGCAAAAATGAATATTTTAATATTCATATTTCAAATATTAAAAATATTTTTGCTTACACCATGTTCAATGGTTGTTTTATCAGCGTCCAAATATTTTTCATAGTACCTGTACACACTTCATTCACCAACTTTCGACGCAACTTACACAATAGATCTGAAAGCCCCGGCAGTATTGCTATTTACAAACCTAAATAATTGTTCTAAAGACTGAACACACTTAATCACTCCAACACTCCTCCTACAATTCCTTTCAAGTTCAACGAAAAGTTCGTTAATTAACTATACAATACTTCTTCACCAATTCTCTGTGATCGCGATGTAAGTACAACTTCGTGACAAACAAATCCACACGTCAAAATTCCATCAGATTCACCTATTTAAAATCTGAAAAAGGCTAGATCGGCAGTGGAGGATCCCAATGAACCCACGTTAATCGAGAGTGGAGAACATCGTGAACCAGAGTCGTCGCGATTCGCTATTCCCTCTCATAGTCTCGCGACAGAAGTGTCCTCGTAGATGGACGAACTCCATGTTGGTTCGATGTTACACTTCGCATAGTGCACCGCGTCAGCGACGGTGGGGAACATTGCGAACTGGCCGCTTTTGTATTCCAACAGGTTGCACTTTCTCATCATCTCGTACACAGGGCCTGCAACGCGTGTTCAAATCGTACAGTACACTTACGCGTCGATTCGAGAACGTTACCACTTCCGCGCGGATACACGCGGATTCTATAGTAAAACACTATACTCACCGGAGCAACCCGTGACATACACCGGGATATCGATTTCGCAGTACTCGTTGATCAGGTTTCCCAGGGTCGTTGCGCCTGCCAGGTCCATGTGACTCAGCGCACTGAAGTCCAGTATCAGGGTCCTCAGCTGTAACGTCAACGAAGAGGAAATTAGCGGCATTTTTAAGTCTTCTTGACGTTTATGGAGGAGAATTCTTTTTTATAGGTTTACTGCTATGGACGCAGCATATGCGGTTTGGCAGTGTCGACAGTTTGTCGACGAAGTATTGGTCGACAGACGACTTCCATTGAGAATTCTTGGTTGAACGCGGAGGCTACTTTGAGGTTATGAATCGGTGGCACAGAAGATGTCTCTTTTCGATTTTCGGGTGGCAATGAATGTGTTTTATTAGTATAGTAATTTTGTTACCTTACGAATTTGTTCTTAGCCCTTTGACTACGGTTGGTACCAAAAGGCGCTTAGAAAACTTGCGCATGTGATACTGTAGGCGTTTAAAAATATTGCTCTTATGGTAATGTAGGCGCCTGTAGGCGCTTAACCAAGTTTGGTCACTGACACGAAAGGCACCCGGAAAATTTTATCGATCATAATTCCGGCGGATCTTATTTCAGTCAGACGTAAGTGAATGCTAATTCAGCAATTACATATTCCGTTAGTCATATATTATTTAAATATGTTTATTTATATTTTGCAGTTATTTTTTGTTATGTATTTATCCATGTTTCGAATTGTACCACACTTTACTAGATTATTAGATATATTGTGAAAAAAGCTTAATGTTAATGTTCAATTTTTAGTATGTACACCAACAATTGAATGCAGAATACAAAGAAATAAATAATATTGTTTTAATGTAGTGGAATTCAGTGTTTTGATTATTCGAATATACTTTCTCAGAAATGCACGTCTAACGAAAAGTTTCACCGTTCTCGGTGTCCGTCGCGACTGATTTCGTACCGTATGGTACGGCTGGTGCGTCCTAAAGTCTGTCGTAGTCAAAGGGTTTTTGAGATATTGTATTTTCAATTTATGCAAAAAAAGAGAAATTGGTTTTTTGATAAATACTTTCAAACTGGATTCCTAGCTTCTTAAGAAATTTTTGTCGCACATTAATGGCTCTATCTTGTGTTTCCAATTTTTTGGGGACTATTTGTTTTCTATGAAACTTTCGAATTATTTCGAGTTATTATCCTGAATGAAGGATTCTGTAGAAAAATTGATCTCAGTTAGCTGAACTCTTCGTTTCTCAAGAAATTTTTACCTTGCCTTCGCCTTAACGACTCTGTCTAAATTATTTAGGAATTCATCCTTGGGATCTTACTTTCGAGCGATTGTTTTCCACTCAAATTCTCGAGAGAAAGTTAATCTTGACATCTGTGATGAAACTGGACCTTTCTTTTTTTTCACCACTCGTCCCTCACCTTCTTAATTTCCTTCAGCTCGTCATGCCTGAAGCTTCCGTTCGACTCTTTCCGCGGCAGCTGTCCAGCGATTTTGTACACTTGGTCACGGAAGTGTTGTCGACAGGCAAAATTCAAGCTTCCCGAGTAGTGGAATATTCTTATGCCTGGCAGCTCGACAGTCTGAAAAATGTCACCTCCGCGTTAGCAGGATCCGTTCAGCCTGTACCGCCTCGAGGAATACGCGATGGAAGAGAGAAAGAAAGTATTTTTTCACGAAAAGAGGAGAATAGAAGGAGAAGAGAGACTATAGTTACTCCATACGCCTTTGTATCTGTTGGTATCCAGATAAAGCTCGGTACCAGCTACTAAAGCGAGCGAGCAGGTGTAAGGGTGGACGGAAAAGAGGATCAGTTTGCCGATGCAGAAGACAATTCCAATTAGAAGACCGTATTCGACGTCGAGCAGGATCACCGTAGTGAACGTCACAGCCCAAATTATCCCGTCCGTTTTGTCCAGCTTCCAGAACCTCTTGAACTCTGTCACCTTCATTAGCATACCCTTTAGAGCCACCACGATGATGCTTGCTAAAACACACTGTTCGAGGAATTGGATTTTAGTTTGAATTTTCGATCGATATTTTGAAATACAGTGGAACCTCGGTAATTCGAAAATTTTAATAACAGTACAATTTTGTTCGTTCCCTGCTGTTCCGCTGTGAAAATTTCTGTAAGTCGAAATAAAACTGGAATTATTTGCCAGGTGCATTATTTTACCTGTGCAACTCTTAAATTTGCCTCTATAAGTCGAACTTCTGTCGCCGTTGCCTATGCAAAATTTATAGCTATGTGTTACAAAGTGTCAGACACCAATCATTCGTGTCACAACTTTCTTTCACTCCTTTCTTTCTTTCAACTCTATAGCAAGTACGATAACCTATCATCCGTCTTATGATTACGTTTGCATATTTATACAATAAAAAATTCACGTACGAAAATAGAATCTTCGTTTCTTTAAGTCGTTACAATTAAAAAATCATTAACCTTCGTACAAAGCTTCTGTATGACGAATTTTCACCTGTTCAATCTCTTTTACACCAAAATTTCGATAAGTCGAAATCTCTCTAACTCCGAGATTTTAGCGCGTTCTTTAAGTTTCGAGTTATCGAGCTGTAAAGTTCGACTGTAATTGTTTTTGGTAATTACCCTTGGTAGAGGCTCGAAGTATGGGCCAATCCATAGTAACACACTGATTAGAATTCCACAGGAGATTAGACTAGCCAGTTGAGTTCGTCCGCCAACAGTCTGCTGGATCAAGGATCTAGAGAGCGAAGCTGTGAATGGCATGCAAGAGAAGAAGGATCCAACTAGATTTCCAACGCCCTAGAATTCATCGAGGATGCTGTTTAAACGAATATAATTAACGTCTTGTTACGCGAGTACGATTGTTTTCTCTCCTATTGATTGTTAGATTGAATAGAGTGTTTTGCGTTAAGGAGGCCAAGGTGTTCACCTCGCTTGGTCGAACAGGGACTTTGGCTAATCAGGTCAGACCTGTGACATGAATCAATTTGCAGGTTGTTGTGATGCGATATATTTGGAGGAAGTACCATCTGAGGATGGTACTGTTTCGTATTTTAATTAGCGAACTGATTGTTATGACACGGGTGTGTTATTTGATTGCGCTTCGAGTTTAATTTAGGGGCGTCATTTGAAGCGTAAAAGTGGTCAAGGATCGATTCGTTGTGTGTTTGCTATTCGTTCGAGGGCTGCACTTCGGTTTGGAGGGAAAGTTTCAGTGAAAACTTTTAAATTCTAGTTCATATTTAAAAATTCAAATACAAATTTTCAAATTTAGAAATTTAGAACTTTAGAAATTTAGAAATTCTAATTCTAATTTAAACCTCCAAATTTTCAAATTTAGAAATTTAGAAATATAGAAATTTAGAAATTTGGAACTTTAGAAATTTAGAAATTTAGAACTAAAA